TATCCATGTCCGAGGGAAGTAAAGACACTTACTTCGGATGGGTTTCGGACAACTCCCGGTCACGCATCCAGCTTCTATTTCGAACACTATTAGATAGAGTGTTTATAAACATACAGACATATACGAACAACAATGTCTGCATATCCATGTCCGAGGAAAGTAAAGACACTTATTTCGGATGGGTTTCGGACAACTCCCGGTCACGCATCCGCTGTCTGTTTCGAACACTACTAGATGGAGGGCTTATAGACAAACAGTCATGTACGAAGAACAACGGCATGGATATGCAGTCAAAACAACCAGCTACGCTACACGCAACCGTTCCAAGCATAGTCACCGATGGATGGACTTCGAACAACTTTCGGTCGTGCATCCATTCTACGGTGTTGGTCATCGATAGCGGCTGCTGGCATCACTCACAAAGTCTTTCAAGGAGCAGCCCATGCGCCCGACATTCTCTTCAACGGTGTTGGAGTCACCAAGTCGTCCGCTGGCCGCTTCTTCGAAACCGTGTGGATCTGGGTTCCCTCTGACCAGTGCCCAATGGCATCGCGCTCTTGGTCCAAAACCTGGGCTTGTTCACTGGTGCATGGAAAAGCCCTTTCTGCCAACAGAGTGACCTGTCCTTCCTTGCCGTCCCGCGTCAAGCGACCGACGAGTAGTCGAGGCTCCAGGTTGCCCATGTTGAAGATGTGACATTCTGCAATGCTGCAGACAGCTTCCACTCGGAATTTGCTACCATTGGGGTATGGGGTGACCTCCTCATGCACCATCAAGACATGCTGGTTTTCGCCCTGTCCAATCGGCTGGGGTGTCGGTTCGCTCCAAGCCTTTGCCACAATGCTGACATAGCTCGGATGAATTGGGGCATCGTTGACGATGATGCCCAAGCTGGAGTAACTCACATCTTGGTAGACGCACTTGATGGGATAAACACAGTTCACCAGCTGCTGCTGTCCGTGACTGAGAATTTTCCGCAGCGAGGGTCGCTCATCATCCTTGAAGCCCACGGCAAAGCACGGCTTGGCAGCTAAGACTTGAAACTGACTCTCCGCAGCAAAGACCGTCTGCGTTTCTGTGTCTTGCGTTCCAAGTGCCGCGCCCTTATCCCTGCGACTCTTTGTCATGTATGGGGCCGTCCCTAAACGGACATCCACGGGTTGACGAAAACAAAGAAATTGCACCCCATGCCTTTCCAACATTTTCACCAGCTTGGCCTTCTCCTCCAGTTTGATGTTGGTCATGACGCACAGAGCTTCCTCATCGGCCAAAACCTTCTCCACGCAACCGGTTGGGTCGCTCAGATTCAGAGTCGCCAGGACCTTGACTTCCGATGCAGGGGTGGACGCGCACCCAGTGCTCTTCTTCTTGCACTCACCACTCTCTGGATCGATCTTGGTGTGACACTCGCTACAAGGAGTATAGACTGGCCACCCGGTCACTTCCGTCACCCAGACATTCTGCAACACCACTTCGATGGACTCCTTGATGCACGCAAGGACAGATGCCCTTCAGTCCGGGAAAGACACTGGGTAGATGCGTGTATATTTATATTTAAGCCGGAAAAGATCAAGTTTCCTCTCATGAGCCTAGATTATACACAGATGTATATACATCGGTACATAGAGTACACGGAGGCAAACGGACAACCGCATATTTCTGCCAAGGAACGTTTTGGAAGGCGTCCGTCAGAGCCAGCGAACACGTGTTCACAGTAGCCGCGCAACTCACAATTTTTGGACTCCCATCAGTGGTCAATCTGACGGTGCCCACTCCTGCCCAGGGCGTCGAGATCTGCTGGCCACGATCCGGGGACAGTAGCTTCAATACCTCTGCCCGGTCACTTTTCGGATCCACCATCATTCTGGCAAACTGGTGTCTGTCGTTTTCCAGCCAATCTTGGCAACTGGCCTCCACCGAGCCATCTTCTTTCTTGGATAGCAGGCAGTTTTCCAGCTGCAGTACCATACCCACCTCGACGTTGTCCCGCACCTCCGCGGTGTATTTGGGACCCCACAGGTTCACCAACAGCTCCATTTCCGATTCATCCTTCATCCAAACCTCGGCTTTGGACACTGTCTTGGTTTGTGGAATGTTCTTGGACATCACCAAGCCAATGAGATCCGCTCGTTGGTAATCCCTGCAATGTTGTTTGAGGGTAGCCAGATCGGACTGTGGTGTCGGCACTACTTTCGCCATGTCCATTGCGGTCTGGTGGGACTCAGCCATAGGATGGACTTTGACCTTCGAAGCTCTGTTGCTCATGTCGGCGCAGAAGCCGCCCAAGAACTTGTTGTTCTGACTGAGTAGCAAACCTTGCACGACCACAAACTTATTCTCACAGCACATCTTGGCTTGCTTTTCCAGGTCAGCCTTGCCTTTGTAACTTCGAAATTCAAGATAAACGCCGTTGGCCTTCTTGTCCACCATGCGGACAATGCACTTCCACAGCGGACTCTTCCCTGGTGCTGTGATGTCTTTAGTCATGTGATACACACGACGTAAGACCACCTTCATTTGGTCGCAGTTGCTGCTGCTCAACCTGTCCAAAGTTGTTTCCAAAGCACTTTCCGCCATGGCGTCGCCAATTTGGATCGTCTGTGGGATTCGAACAACTCTCGGTCTCGCACAGATAGAGCCCAAACACTTGCCAACATTCGAAAGGAAACAAGATGAAATTAGCCTTTCACGTGAAAGGATAACAATGGAAGTCCACAAGCAAAGCGACACGAAACAAGCGCGGTAACAACTACGCGTCACCGTTTTCCAGTCGCAAATGTAACATCTCTCTACCCAATCGACGGGATTCGGACAACTTCCGGTCTCGCGTCGTTCAGCGGATCTAACTGTACATCAAAGAGGTGGCTCCCGCAGATACCGGCGATTTGGTTCGGTAGTCCGAGCAAATTCAATGATCTTAGCTAACTCACAAAGCAAAAATTCCATTTCCGTGTGGGTGGATGCCAGTAATTCTTTTCCAGCCTTGATCAATTGCATTTGCATCGATCTCTTCTTCGGTGACACCTGCAATGCTTCCAAGCGAGTCACCTCCTCCTGTAGCATTCGCCGTAAGCGTTTCACGCTGACGGTGCTGTTCTCAAAACCGCGCACCAAATCCCCTGTCGTGCTTGCGTGACTGTTGTAGTTCTTCACTTCCCCGGCGATCAAGTTGCCTCCAGCCAATGCTCCTTCGCCCATCAACGTTCCAGCGCTCTGCACCCAAGCCGGGAGACCATGCCATCCACCGGGTTGCGTTGCTCTGTCGATGAAATAGCGTTCCAGGTATGCAAATGCATTTCGACCTAGCAGTGGGCTCAAGCCTGTTCCGAACTTCATCGCCAGAGATCTCCTGGAAGCGGTTGCTCCACCTCTACCACCCTTTAGTCCACCGTCCAACTTCTTCAATCCGATCTGCCTGACCTTTTTCAAGCGACTCGCCACCAAATCAGCATCTGGAAGCGCCGTGGCATGGCGATCAAAGCTCCGTGTGAACAGCTTCTGCAAAGGGATCTTTGGAAGCAACACATCCAGGATATCCAACACATCTTTTCTCTGCAACAATCTACCCAACTCGCGATGCTGTTTGCTGCACGCAGTTCGAAATCTTTGAACCGTAGATCTGTGATTGAACAATGCCACTGCAGCAGCTCCAGTGGCCAGTGAAGACCATTGCTTTTCCAAATAATTCAAGGCATCAACACTCTGCAGCGTCTGTGGGTCAGACGGCTCATCGTTGATTTTACACAACATCAAACACTTTGATGCCAACATGCATCTTGCTTCTGCCGGCTGAAAAA